GGAATAAAAGATTTTTAGATCTTTATGGTAAAGCTTGTCTTTGGTTCTGTAAATGGAATAAAAGATTTTGAGACACAGATCTTTATGATAAAGCTTGTCTTTGGTTCTGTAAATGGAATAAAAGATTTTTAGATCTTTATGGTAAAGCTTGTCTTTGGTTCTGTAAATGGAATAAAAGATTTTGAGACACAGATCTTTATGGTAAAGCTTGTTTGAAATATAAGCTTGTGTTTGGTTCTGTACTCGTTTTGTTTTTTAAATTGATATTTAATAGATCAAAATGGTGTCTAGTAAATAAGAGATAGAAGTATACATCAAGATCAGGTGCAATACATTCATTCTTTAGTCGGTGTCTTTTTTTTTGTGACATGCACATGAAAAAGAAAACAATTAACTCAGAACTGAATGTTTTGATAAAGGTATCAGGCATTTTGTGTTTTTATTTTAATAGGTTTAACACATATTAAAGTGGTGATAAAGAATTTTGTACAAAAAAATATCCTAAAGCATTTTCAAAATGACTCATTTTAAAAGTTTTTATAGCAGTGGGGGAAATACAAGTTTAGTAATATACAAATATTCCGAATGACTATTGTTAATCTTGCAGGCCTTATCTTGTGTTACCTCCCTTGATTGAGTGGGTGACAGTTGCCACAGCTCATGCTGAATATCGGAGAGGTCAGGTTGTTGACAGAGATGATGTAATGCAGGCTGCCAGGCAACTCCTACCAGGAGTTGACTGTCCAATCAGACAGTTTGGGTAAGTATGGTTAACATAGTTTATACATATTCAGGTTTTGTATTTATTGAAGAGAAAATCCTGGTGTATTTAGTAATGAAACTAATCTATCTTGTATTTTTACAGGTAGCAACTTAGTTCCAAAATACCAGTCATAACTGGATGTGAGTTTTAGCACGTGCCAGTTAAATTAAATTCAACATGGAGAAATAGTTTGTTGGAAATTTAAGAAATTGTGACTGAAATGAGAACACTGTTAAGATACCATGTGAATTGCTTTTTTACTTTAGATTCCTCAACATTCTTCTTACAGATACTGTCTTGTTGCAATTAAAATAACTTGTTATATGTCATAGGTTATAGAGACAATTAAAATAACAGTTTCCAAGGTTGGACAGTTTCCTTTAACTATTGGATAATTCCTCAATCAAGGTTGGACAGTTTCCTTTAACTCTTGGATAATTCCTCAATCTCCAACCTTGATTGAGGAATTATCCAAGAGTTAAAGGTAACTTTCCAAACTTAATTGAGGAATTATCCAAGAGTTAAAGAAAACTGTCCAACCTTGATTGAAGAATTATCCAAGAGTTAAAGGTAACTTTCCAACCTTAAGTTACCTTTAACTCTTGGATAATTCCTCAATCAAGGTTGGACAGTTTCCTTTAACTCTTGGATAATTCCTCAATTAAGTTTGGAAAGTTACCTTTAACTCTTGAATAATTCCTCAATCAAGGTTGGACAGTTTCCTTTAGCTCTTGGATAATTCCTCAATCAAGGTTGGACAGTTACCTTTAACTCTTGGATAATTCCTCAATCAAGGTTAAGTTGTAAGTGAATGAATATAAACATTTTTTTAATCTGATCATTTACATACAGTTACTGTACGTTTTAGATTTTTGGGTTTAATAAACTAGATTTTATTTAGTTGGAGATTTTTCTATAAAACAGCTGATTTCTCTATTGAAATAAAAGTATTGTAAACTAGTAGAACTGTGAAGAGTTAAATTTTCACGTGGTTGCTAACTTAAGAAGAGAAAGATGTGTTTTTAATGAGGTATTGTAACATCATAACAATGCTAACTTTTTATGCACTTGCTCCCTGTAGAAATGTAGCATAGATGTTCTCTAATATTGAATACTCCATTTACAAAACAGAACAGATTTTCTCTTGAATAATTAAGTATATTTTTGTTTTGTAACTGCCATATTGGAATTGCTGCTGTCAGAACTATTTTGTAGTAAGCCAGTATTGCTACGGTTAGTAGAAATAAATGAACTTATTTTGTACAGGAGCTATGATGAAAAACTGTATGCTAGAAGACAGATGGAGGAATCAGAGTGTGCTCGACTTTTGAAGATGGATCTCGCTTTCCGCATGCTTACCAGTGGTCGTACTGACCTAATGCCTCATGCTTTACAGTTGTTGCCTCCAACTAAAATCAACACCATCAATGAACAAGGCCTCACTCCTTTGATGTTGGCTTGTATTCGTGGTGATGAAGCGATGGTTCAGATCTTACTAAATGCAGGGGCAGAAGTAGATATTGAGGTATTTTCCACATGATTCTGTGACAGTAAAATATATCTTCAGAACTTTCATTTGTGCAAAATGATTTTAGGTTATCACTTTTAAGTTAAAAGATAATCTGAATTTAGAAGTTCCGCTTTATAACTAAGTAGTTGCATGCATAAAATTTATGAAGTAATACCAAAAATAAAATTACTCTTTGCAGTTATCTCTGGTATCAACGTAATTTCATCTGAATTTTAAAAATGTCGATCTCACTTTTGTTTGTAAAACAATAGAACTGTAAATACATATACAGTATTGTTCTCCTGTCTATGATGTTTCTGATTATTGCTGTGTAAAATAATTTTTAATAACACGTGGTTTTCTTTTTCAAGACACCTTTGTGTAATGGCCACTATCAAAGTGTGAACCCCGAAACACAGCACTGGACAGCACTAACCTATGCTACAACCCATGGTCATTTATCTATCACCAAAGTAAGCTATTATTTCCAGAATATTCTACTAATTTGTAGAAATATTATATAATAGTAATAGAGAATGTGATTATTATATATGGCTGTATTTGTTTATTTTGTAGGACATTGTATTTTGGACTAAGTACAAATTGTGATAAAGGAGCTAGCCTGTATTATCACCATATTGTTACCAATCAGAACCAGTTTTTCTCTTTGACCATATGAGAGGCCTGTTGTTTTAATTTTTTACCTACAGGTTATAAGTGGATAAGGCTTTATAAGATGCAATAACTGATTATTTTTAGTTGTTGTATATATGTAGTTATATAATATTACCTATTTCTGGAGATCTGTTTCAGTATTTTCTGATAATTTGAACAAAATCTCAGGGGATAGAATATGTACATATATTTGTGTGAGAGTATTATATTAGGCTTTGATCTCGATAAAAGAGTTAGCACAAAGGATCACATATAAAGTGTAATAAACTTAACATAAGACCCAAGACCATTTGTTCTCCTGAAGAATATTAGGCTTTGCATATTTTGACTTACTGTTTTAATTCATCAAAGTAAGAAATAAATATGATGTTTAATGTATTTGTTTTATAGCTTCTTCTAGAGAAACGAGCCAGTGTTGAAGGTGGAGCAAGACTTAGTGAAGACAAAATTACCCAGACACCACTACAGTTAGCTGCATCCTCTGGTTAGTCTTAAGAATTTAAGGCAAATATCATTGTAGATAGCAGTGACTTCAGGTTAATATAAAGATGTTATTTATAATAATATTATTTATAGTGACAGGTTCAGTTTAAGAAGTTCGCTAAAACAATTGCACAGTTGTTCGAGATTCAATGTAGCATACTGTTGAACAGTAAGTATTGTACTGCACACTCATTTTTGCAATTGTTTCTCTGATAGTTTTATTTTATCATTTTGGACAGTTAAGAAGAACGATTTTTCCAGTAGGAGTGCCATTTCAGGTTTTACTGGTGGTCCAGGGGCAAGATGGATGCTTTTGGTTTTATTTAAAGATTAAAATGTAAAAACCAGTCTACATTTGGAACATTTTTTCTGATTATTTGTGATATTATTTAATAACCATTTGAGTAGTGGTTAAGTTTGATGGCTATGATTATACACTATTGCTCAGTACTACAATTTTCAATGGGATTGCTATAATTCCATTTTCTTTTGTTGTCTTTCGTGTGAAAAAAGCCGTTGATTTTACATATAACTAGAAGCTTGTAAATATTTGACTTTTGACTCTTTGTTAACTTCAAATCTTTGTTTGTTATCTTAAGATATTATGCCCAGTTTAATTGCAGTGTCTTTTTGAGTTGGAGGGTTCTTTTTTTTTGTATTCATGACCTTCATTTTTTAGATAAAGGCATTAGCTTGAAGTTTGGTATTGAAGCCTTTATTCCTTCTTAAATGGTCAGATTTTTTCAGTTCCATGGAGAACATTAAAGATTCCTTTGTATGAAATGTTGTGTCTTTTGGCTTTACAGTTGTTAGTTACTCCACTGGCATTAAAACATCAAAAGTTGGGAGTTTGGCTGTAACTAAATAATGTTTTAGTAATATTCTGTTAATATTTGGTAATATTCTGTATTTCTGTTTTATATACTGGTAGATAGTCATTCGTTGGTTAGTCACCATTTTAGCACTCATCTGTTTTGTTTTCAAACTGTAGGGTTTAAGAGTTTTAAGATCTATATTTCAAATTAGTCATATAGTCAGATTAATAGTAAAAGTAGTTGTACTTGATTGATTTTTTAGCAATAAATATCCACTTTTAATTGTTGCATTTGGGTCAAAAGAGGAGCATTTTAACAAATTTTTCTGTGGATTTAGACTGTCTGTACACTTGAAGGTGTTTGTTAAATATACATCATTCCTATTTCTAAGTAAAAATCTAAGTTTTAGCTCTCAATGAGTCTGTGAATTATTGTTCAATCTCCAAACATAGAGTTGAAAACATGATAGATAACTATTGAACTTGTATGACCTTACAGTTAGATTTTCTCTTCAAGTTTTGTTGTTTGTTTTTGAATTTCGCGCAAAGCTACACAAGGGCTATCTGCGCTAGCCGTCCCTAATTTAGCAGTGTAAGACTAGAGGGAAGGCAGCTAGTCATCACCGCCCACCGCCAACTCTTGGGCTACTCTTTTACCAGCGAATAGTGGGATTGACCGTCACATTATAACGCCTCCATGGCTGAAAGGGCAAGCATGTTTGGTGTGACGGGGATTCGAACCCGCGACTCGCAGACTGCGAGTCGAGCGCCCTAACCACCTGGCCATGCCGGGCCCTCTTCAAGTTAGAGAGAAAATCTAACTGAAAACATTTTTACAGTTACCTGCACAGCCTCAGATTAGTGTAGAGAAGTTAATTGAAGCAATTTAATTGTTGGCTTGAGTTACAAATATGTATAAATATATATAATTTAATTTCTATCAGCTTTCAATGTTTGCAGAACAGACTGGAGGATTGAAACTATCCTGAAATGACGGCTAATACAACTCCAAAAAATAGTAATTGATTTAAAACCAATATTTCAGCATGCATCTTTATCAAGGATTCACAGCAGTACAGGCAATAAGTACTGTCTGGCGTTATAAACTTGTGTGCTGGAGCAGGTCTGGCAGACTGGACAGCAGCCAGACTAAAATTTTATCACAGTAACTGTAGGGCTTTTTAATTTAACTTGCACATCAAATATTGCTTCTAGGCTAATAGATGGACTTAGAGTAGTATGTGTGGACACTTACACTCACCATAGCTATAAGTAATCACAAGCATGTTCACTTGTAGATTACTCATGTAATTTATTATGTATTGTTATACTGACCAGTGAGCACCTATTATTGTGAATCATAAAGAAGATCTTGCAGATGATTAATACTTTCAATAAATTATAGTAAAATTAGCACCTATTTTTCACACTATTCCGAGTTGCCTGACCAATCCGAAAAAAGCTTCCTTCAGAACTGTGTAAAAAATACAACAATATATCACTATGACATAACTATAATAAAATACTGATTGCATAAAGAACCAGACGTATACAACAATGATAAAAAATGAACTTTGGCATCTTAATACAGTGTTAGTAATAAATGTTTTGGAACAGCAAGTGAAAATACCTTTTCTTGAAATAGTTTAAATCATATAACGTTATGGTATACAGAGTTCATATGATATACAAAAGAATAAAGTAAATAAGCAGAAGAGGTAATATATAGTGAAATGATAGGGTTATTTGTAGTACAAATCCTGTGCACATTTATTTGAGTATAATATTAATTTGAATTTGAAAAATGCAAATACATGCAGACAAGTATCTTATATGTGATATTTCAAAGATACCTTGGATTGAATGTAAATACATAAAAGTTCTGTATTTCTCCAGTGTATATGGCTAGATATTCTGCACCTACTATTTTGTAGATTGAGCCTTTAAAAGAATTTTTTTCTTATTTACATTCCTCATTTCTTTTAAAAACTAAATAGGAAAGTAAATTGTAAGTTTTTTTTTTGCCAGGCTCTCGTTAGATATGGATAGTCAACCAAATGTCTGGACTGTATCTCTGTATAATGAATTCTTATAGTATTATTATTTTTTTATACTTGGCAAATAAAATGGACAAAAATACCTTAGAAAGGTAATTGTAAAGATAAATATTATAAATTAGGTGCTTTCAGGGATAATTCCTGACAATTACGGACAATTATCATTTATGGTGTTGCATATTTTTTCTGTCATTTTAAGTTACTTATCAATGGTGTCACTTTTCTCAAAATAGTCAATAGTTTGGGTTTCAGTTAGAACTATGTAGCAGGTATGTAAATAAAATTGTTTATTGTAATTATAATAATTAGCTATTCAATAAAGCATTTTGTGATTTTATCAGTAGCTCCGTATGAAAACGTTATCATAACATTATTGTATTAAATATATTAGTTCTTCTTGAACGGTTGGAGACAACTTATAAGTGGATTCTTATCTTCATACCAAGGATTGTTGTGGAAGAGATAGCTACATCTTCTCTTGACATGTATTATCATCTTTTGATTCTTGAAACAGAAACTTCATTTAACAGTAATTAATAAGGATTATTGATTATTTCTTTAAAGGAAATTTGGATCTGGTGAATGTTTTGTTGTCATATGGAGCCCACCCATTTCTTTCGACAATGCTGAGGGATTCTTTGAGCTATGGTGGAGCAGCCCAGCGGGGCTGCTACAGTGCCATAGCTGTAGCAGCTGCTCATGGGCAAAGAATGATTCTGCATAAACTTTTATCACACCCAATATCTAATAGCAGCAAGGAAGTGCTTTCTCTTGAAGAAATTTTAGCGGAAGGAGCTAACCAATTAACTAGCGAAAGAAGGCCTGCTAGACTTCAGGTATTCAAAGCAAAACATGTTTCTTCCTTGTATTTTAGTAAAAGTGCTGTTTTAGGCTTCTGTATTCCTTAAGGATACTTCTTTTAGTCTTGAGAGTTATTTTAAGGATCCGCACCAGGTAACATAGTTTCCATTACCTTCTTACTTGGGGCACATTTTGGTCATCTCTGCCAAGTTCTGCCAGTAAGCATAGATTTCTTCTGGCACAGGATCAGAAGTGAGAAAGACAGCAAGAAGTAGTAAGACATCATGACAAATATTATCAAGAGGATTAGGCTTAGCTGCTGAGAATTTAAAACTAGGAATATTTGTACATGCCCTTGATTTTCATTCTTATAACATAAGCTTCAACTACGAAGATGTTTAATAATTCATTTAAAAATACAAATGCTCTGTTACATTGACTGCAATTTAGAAACTTAACTATTGGAGTCAAAACCATTTTTCTGGTCTCCTTTAACCTGGGATAGTGAAAACAGTGAAAGGCAGATAAAATAGTTGGTAGACTTTCTGCTGCTAAAGGCAAAGACAAAGAAATGTGCCCTTTGTAAAGATGAATCCTCAACTTTACATCATACTATGACTTGATTTCTGATTCAAAATTAATTATATTGCAGATGAAACCTGTAATGAAAATCATTTCTCCTTATTTTTTAATAACTAAATATTTTTAGTCTTATTCATTATAACCTCAAAATATTACGTCATCAAAGAATTAATGTCTCATTTTGGAACACTTTCACTAACCACCCCCGAAAAAACGTACATCACATC